ATTTAATAAAGGAGGAAACGGAGGCACGGGGGGCTGGGAAAGGGGGGAGCGTGTTGGGAACCACACCTCAGCCTGCGGGAACCTGCGAGCAAAGCTCCCATCTCTCCTGGAACAAGAGGTTCTCCTGAAAGCAGGCAGCTGCCCTTCCGGACGTGGACGCTGGGAAGGATTCTTTACCCCCTCGCTGCTCTCGGCCTCAGCCCGCTGCAGGGCAGATCAGACCCTGGTTTCTCTCCTCTGGAGCAGCTTTTTCCGCCGCTGAACCCCGAGTTAGGCTCCCAGGAGCCAGGCAGACCCCGCTTCGCCCTTCCCCACCCCCCAGAGCAGCCCTCTGCCAGCAAACCCTCTTCCCTCACCCAGCCCCAGAAGCAAATCCAAGTCCAAAAGTCTCTGTTATGCCAAGAAAAGCATTTTTTCCTCATTTTAATAACTTCTTTGGGCACTGACACATACAGTAACGCCCTGGGGGAGTTCACGGGGGATCCCCAAACCCTAGGGGATGAGCTGAGCCCACTGCCCCAGCAAGGGGCTGTGCTTGTGCTCTTACCCACCGAGAACATGAAATGAAGGTGCTGCAGCCCAAAGCGAGGGGTTTTAAACCCTCCTGGGTGCTGCCGGAGCTGGGATTTGACTCAGGAGCCCTGTCACTGTGTTCCAGCCCCGCCTGGAGCATCGCTCAACCTTCCCGCTGAGGGTAAAGACAGCCGGGAGCCCGGATCTGAGACAGACAGATGGACTATGCCAGCCTGAGGTCAATAGCTCATAAAATCCACCTGCCCTGCCAGGTTTTCCCCCCTTTGCTCCGAGGTGTCTGCCCGCAGGGGGTCAAAGCCTGTGTCTCACTCCCGCAGCACTGAGCAATGCCAACCCCGCAGCCGGGATGCTTGTGGAGCAAGAGGGGGAAGGACCAGGCCACCCTTCCTGAGGGCTTAGGGCAAAAATGTACCCTCTGTAGCATCCCAGGCTCCCGACTGCCCTCAGCTCGGTCCCAGACCTTTCTCTCGCTGTGCTTCTCAGGGCAGCGGTCACCTCCCATCGCTCTGCGTCTACAACCTCGACCCACACGGCCCTTCCCGAGCCCTTGAACCAGAGGCGACGGCAGCCAGGCATCCTCGGAGAGCTGGGCTGAGAGCAGAGCTCCCTGCAGAACATCTCCCTACATTTCAGATCAGTCGGGCTTCTCCTTCCAGCTCAACCTGCAGGTCACAAACGCCTGTGAAGTTGATCTCCTCGCCAGCCCGGCTGCTGCCGATGGAGGTAGAGGGAGGGGATGGTTGCTGAAGGCCATCTGCCACCAGGTTTCGGTTCACGTAGGCCTCCAGGGATTTCAGGAGCTGCCTTGGTTTCTTCTTGGTGGATAACTCCAGCTCTGGGGAGGTCAGAGGGAGACGCATGAGGACAGGGAGCAAAGTTCTGGGTGGTGTCGGGGACACAGCATGCTCCTGGGGTAAGGTTTTGACCCGTATATTATTTCTGTCTCAACATATGCCCTTGGGAAAGGGCACAATTATGTTTTGCTTGGGATGAGAGAGCACAAAAAGCTCCTCGCCAAAACCCCCAGCCGAGCTCAGCATCAGCTTGAGCTCCCCCGAGATCGCCCCGGGAGGGAAAGCCCAGGGAGAGTGGATCAAAGCAGAGCCTGACCGCGACAGCTGGACCCCGTTTTAAGAGGGAACCATTAGCACAGCACATCCGAGCGGCTCTGTTGACATCATTCTCCTCTGGAGTAAATAACCTCGCTGGTTAATTTAGTGCTCGCTGTGAAAAGCACATCGTCGGCGACTCCGCTTACACTCCGCGCTACGAACAGGGCTTACACAACCACCCTGTGTGACGTGAGCGAGCCTGGGGAGCAAGAAACATCCCCATTTGTCACCCACCTCAAGCCACCAGGACACAGCACCCCTCTGAACACGGAAGGCGCTTCCATGGGTGCTCATCTTTAAGATTTGAGATGCAAAATGTGGGGGAAAAACACCCCACAGGGCACTCAGGTATTTAAAGATTGTTGAAAATCTCGGTGTGAAGATTAAATGATGAATGGTTGGGGTTTCTGAGTGTTACACCCCTTGGGGCCGGGCTCAGCAGGACACACACATGGTGAGAACATACCAGGTTTGTCCTCCGGGCCTCGGGTTATTTTCCGTGTCTGGGAAAGGAAGGGAAAGCGCAGGGAAACGCACCCTTTAGGAGGAAGCCGGAGTCGGCGAGGGTTTTGTGCTGCCATTTCCAGATGCGGTAGAGCTGCAGAAAGGCCGCCGCATACAGGTCGTTCAGCACGGCAATGACTTGCTGCCTGCGGTTGCACTCCCTGAAATCGGTGGAGAGGGGCTCAGCCGACGCAGCCGATGCCCTGGCAGCTGAGGGAGCCGCCGGGGAGGGACCCCGTGCAACGGGAACCAGCCAAGGATGCTGTTTGAGACCCCAGAACCACCAGAATTCCATCTAGCCTGGCTACGGTGCTGCTGGCCACTCGGATCTCACCTGCAGAGACGTTCCTCCCTCAGGGCCTGGATGACGATGCGGGTGATGTTCACAGACATGATGCAGAAGGGGAAATTCTGCAAGAGAATGAGTGTTATCGCAGCTTGGCTAGAAAAAGTGTCCCTTCTTGCGGCACGCAGAGGTGCCCAGACAACACCTCCGGCCTTTTATGTCGTATCCACACAGCCCCAAACCTGTGGGCTGGCAGCTTCAGGCAACAGATCCACAAAGCAGGATAATAATACTACAGATACAGAGTTAGATGGATGCTGTGGGTGAAGCAGAGCTTATATCCATGCTTAAACCCAACCACGTCTGAGACTAAAATGCCAAGTTTAAGGAGATAGGCTCCACTCCCATTTTCACACCGCGCTGCTCTCCAGCCCTTTGAACCGGCACAAGTTCAGCTCCAACCCAGGATCCCGGGAGCAAATCTCTGATCTCCACCTGGATGCTAAAATCTCATTCCCAGCATAAAGCCAACACCTGGACTTTGGCTCCAACCGTTGAGCAGAGCACCTCAGCTTTTTGGGGACCAACCTCCTCCCCTTACCAGCACGAGGGGGATTAAGCAGCAAAAAAAAAATTAAAATCAAGCCTTCACACTGAAGAGAAGGTTTTCGTGCTTCATTTCCCCGAGCATTAGAAATAAATAGACACCACTGCAGCAGTAAGCAAAGAAGGGGGAAAGACATGCCTGGGTTTCGTGCTGGGATAGCTTGAAAATCTCTTGAGCTAGAGGCAGCATCTGAGAGTCCATGACGAAGTAGAGCATCTGCATCAAGCCCAGCATCCCTGTCCCTCGCAGGTCAGTCCCGGGATCCGCACCTGGAAGGACGGGACAGCCTGGTGAAGCGAGGGACAGCACGGAGTCGCTCTCTGGTCACCTCCCCACTTCCACAGGCCGCTTATACCCTGTCCCAGCACTCCAAGAGCAGAGGAACCCCAGAGAATCACATCCTGAGGGAAAGCTTTCGGGAAATTTCCCTAACCAGAGACGAATGGGTGCCGTAGCCTGTTTCACATGGCCATTAGCCAGCCCTTGCTCTCCCACGCACCCATGCACCCACTCCCATACCTTCTCGAGGAATTAGTAGCTCCAAGCTCTACCCATCCCAGGGCACATTTGGCTGGAAACCTAATGCTTAAAACCAGTTGTGTACACGACAGGATGGAAGAGTGGGAGCTGTTCCTTCCTATTGAGGGTTTTCGGCTTCATTAAAACCCAGGCTATTTAACTTGCCAGTCAACCAGCCCGAAAACTCCTGTGAGGCCTCATGTGACAGCTTTAATCACACTGTTTTTCTTACACAGCCGAGGCTGAAAGCAACCTGCGACACAACCTTAGTGACAGAGCCCTGACCTGCACGCCGTTAATAAACCAGCCCTCCGGAGACGGCTCATTAGCCGCAGAGATTGCTTGCTAATGAAGAGCATTAACAGCCCGGGCAAAGCAGTTAAGCCAACTACTTCTTGTTATGCCCACGCCAGCTGGACACGCGCAACCGTGGCAGCGGGTATTGGTGTTATCTGGCCAACCCGTCCAGACGTTATACTGGTTGTGACAGCTGGCTGGGGTGACAGATCTGCTATGTAACCAGGGCTCAGTATCGGGGCCAGTTCTGTTTAGTATCTTCGTTGATGAGCTGGACAAGGGAATAAAGTGCATGCTCGGTAAGTTTGCAGATTGACACCAAGTTGGGCGGGAGTGTTGATCTGAGGCCAAACCTCTAATACTGTGCTCAGTTTTGGGCCCCTCACTACAAGACAGACATGGAGGTGCTGGAGTGTGTCCAAAGATGGGCAACAAAGCTGGGGAAGGGTCTAGAGCACAAAGTCTGACGCGGAGCAGCTGAAGGAACTGGAATAGGATGAAAGGAAATGGCCTCCAGTTGTGCCGGGGAGGCTTGCACTGGATATTAGGAAAAGTTTCTTCACCAAAAGGGCTGTCAAGCATTGGAACAGGCTGCCCAGGGAAGTGGTGGAGTCGCCATCCCTGGAGGTTATTTAAAAGCCGTGCAGATGTGGTAATTAGGGACATGGTTTAGCAGTGGACCTGGCAGCTCTGGGCTAACGGTTCGACTTGATGATCATAAGGGTCTTTCCCAACCTCAATGGCTCTATGAAATGGCAGCAGGGATGGCGGCTGCACGAAGGGAGAGGGAATGAGCGGCAAATCCTTTGTGCTGCCTCTGGATTTCGTCTCCAGAGGAGGGAACAGCACCAGCATGAACTCTTTCAGCAAAGGTTTGCCCCAGAGGTCTTTCCCTCAGCCCTACCTTGAAAGCCAAGCTCTTCCCAGTGTGCCCCATAGCGTGGGCAGCCCAACCTGGAGCAGGTTAGCTTCTTGTAAATGGTCTGCAGGATTCTCATGTGCACTCTCTCGTTATCATCCAAACCACCTGGCAGAGAGAAAACACTCCTCAGTATCTGAAATACACCCCTCAGCATCCCTGCCCTGCTGTCCTCGAGTGCTAGTGCAGAGACACGGTGGGGAAAGAAACCACCCCCAGCTGCAGGGTAAAGCCAGAGTCCAGCTGGAAATGAAATCCCGCAGCTGAGAATGGCCTATAGTGACATGGAGAACATCCTGGCCATGTTTATCCTGCTGGAGGGGGAGAGGGGAAGGAGAGGAAAATGTATTAGAGGTGCAGAAACACAACTAATATGACTGTGTGTTATATGAGCACTGGGGTAATGAATAATTCTGGCATCATGTGAAATTTTGCTGGACAAAGCAGCGCTGCCTGGGGAACCACAACCAACCACAAACCACAGGCGAGGAGTTTCCACGTGCTCAGCACGTGTGATCCACCGTGGGACAGCCAGAAATGACACACACCATACCAAGGTACTGGGAGGATTCCAGTCTTGCTTGCTTTGGTCACAAAACGAGGAGTGGGAATGGCTGCAGAGCACCTGCCCAGTCCCATGTCAAGGTGTACACGTGGAACGGCTACTGTGGCACGATGGAAAGGGATCAAGAGATCCATCGTTCCCCCCCCAAAAGTGAGTATTTCTGCAGCAGGGGAGCAAAGGAGAGGGAGAACGTGTACTTTGGGACCG